TTCCTAGTTACCCCGTTTTGCACTCTGTTTCTTACCCCACATTCCCTAACTCTTTTCCACAGGAAATGTCAGAGATTTCCTCAGATGGGAAACCTGGCTACTTCTGAGAATTCCACTGCATGGGGGCCTGGGTGCCGGCTGCCTCCCCCAAATCGCAGCTTAGCCGTGTTCCCTGGACAGGTCTACCCCCCTCTGCCCTGCAAAGAAGCCTGGAGTTCAGAGGAGCAGGTGGCGAAGTCCCTTCCTCGTAGGGGCACACCCACTGGTTCCCTCCCCAGAGTCCCTGAGAATCCGGTGGCTCAGTGATCTCAGTGATCGGTGGTCCTCTGCGGAAGTGGGCGAGGCCGCTGGGCAAGGGCGCCCGCTGCCTCCCGCTGCCTGGCTTCTCCTGGAGTCTGATTTCCTTGGCCCTCTGAGCCTTTGAGGTCTGGGCCCTGGTCCAATGCTGCTGTTGTCTGAGGAATGGTTTGGCGAGAACAGATGTTAGAACTTGTTTGTTGATTCTTGTCTGGCTAATAAATCATCGCCAACCACCTCTCCCCACAGGGATCCAAGTAGCGCACGCTCCTTCTGTCTGTCTCGGGCTCCCTCTCTGTCCTATTGTGGAGGGCACGTGGTTCGAGCACCACTGCAGTGGGGGGGAGTGGGTCTGGGGGTTGAGAGACACCCGGGCAAGGGTCACAAATCGGGGGGCCGGGAGACTCCCGGGTAAGGGCCCACGGAGTGTTCTGTTCTTAGCAGGGCCGGGCAGGTAGCCAGGGGCAGAGGGGTGGCTGCGTCACTTGGGGGTGCCAGGAAATAAAGGGGGGCAGGGGGGAGAGCGGTTGAGGGGTAGGCCCTGTACCCCCTTCCCCAGCCCCCCTGCCAAGCACAGGCCTGGGGAGGGGAGCGTGCGTTGGTGACCTGTGTATGTGAGCCCCTTAGGAGGATGGGGGGCCCTGCAGTGGCGCTAAGGGTCTCTTGTGTCTTCCCAGCCTCTTGGGCTCAGGCCTTGCCTCAGTCAGGACCCCATCCTGTCCCTTGCCCTCTTGTGAGGCTTCCTCTCCATTCCACCTCCCCACCCA